GCCCGCCTCGGCCTCCCAGAGTGCTAGGATTACAGGCGGGAGCCACCGCGCCCAGCCCATATTGTTACTTTTATCAAAAGTTTATGCTTTTTAGTTCTGAGTAGTATTTCATTGTGGGGGTATATATATAATTTATTTACATGTTCTCTATTAATAGGCATTTAAATTATTTCTTGTTTTTGATTATTACAAAGCTTCCATGGATATTCATGTACACATCTTTAAATGGACAAATCCTTTCATTTCTCTTTAGTTAATATTAGGAATGGAGTGGCTGAGTCATATGGAATACGTGTGTTTAACTTTGAAAGAAACCATCAAACTATCTTCCAAAGTGGTTAATCGGTACAAAAATCCAGTCGGATAGAAGGAATAAGTTCCTAATATTTTAGAGCACAGTAGGGAAATTATAGTTAACTACAATTGATTGTGTATTTCAAAATAGCTAGAAGAGAAGAACTGTAATGTTCCCAAAACAAAGATGATTGAGGTGATGAATATCTCAGTTACCCTGATTTGATCATTACCCATTGTACACACACATCAGAATATCACCTATGCCCCCCAAGATATGTACAACTGTGATATATCAATATTTAAAAAGTGGTTGAACCATTTTTACACTGCTACTAGCAGTGCATGAGAGTTCCGGTTGCTCCATACCCTCACTGACACTTTGATATAGTCAGTCTTTCTAATTTTAGACTTTCTAAAGGTAGCTTGTTGGGGACTATGTTTCTGGGTTTTCAGCGGTGGCTCTGGGCTGTAGTAGTCCAGTACACACTTACTGGATGCCGGGACCCGACAGTGCTTCCAAGTCCTGAATAAAGACTTACGCACAAGCAGTTCTCACTCCCAGGTGGGGACGCTGAAACCAGCTTCTTTCAGACATAGGCACAGAGCAAGGACCCCAAGGACTGAGTCCTCCTGGAAAATGGGCCCCCACATCGAACTAGAGCTCAGCCTGGATCAAGATACGCCAGAATCAGGTGGAAGGTAAATGCAGCCATTAGCCACCAGACTGCCCTAGTGGTCTTGGGGAACTAGATGACCCCCATCTCTTCTTGAAGAAGCAATTTATCTAGGCTGTTAGGATGAAAAAGTGGAGTAGGAGCCATCAGTAAGAGTGACCAACACTCCGAAAGATGTTTATGTATGAGATTCCTGCTTCAGAACTGTGTCCAGCAACATGCAAATATCCTGTGTAGAAAAGAAGCCCAAGGAAACATTCGCTGTGGGAAACTGTCACTAATGTTATCCACATATCAGTCTAGTAGGTCAGGGGTTGTGGTACAAGCCACACAGAGTCACCATATACCCACGTTAGTTAGACA